GATGACAGTGCGGCAAGCACTGCCTTTGACCGGTCCCTTGAGTCGGCATCGCAGCAACTGCAGAACGTGGAGGAGAGCTTACAAGAGCTGCACCGCCGAATCCGGGATCAAGCTTCCGTTCTGGCGACGGTTCTCTCACAATTCTCGGCGCTCCTGCCTGAATTTCGAGACACGAAGCCTCCGCAAAAGCTTATCTGGACAAGTTGTAAAATGTAAAACAGAAGCAAGGACGTTTGAGGATTCAGCATGTGTTGCTTGTGTTCCCCAAATCTGTGCGGAACTTTGAGGGGCAGCAACTTTGCTGATCACATCCGGGAGCCCAAGATGGCGACTGCGCAGCTGCAGTCTGAGATGCCGCTGAAATTTCACTCTTGTTCCGGGCTGTCAGCTGCTTGTTGCAAAGGCCACGACAACCTGAAGTCCGACAGGCCCTTTCCTTCCTTACCGCCTCGAAGCTCCAGTGCTTCCTTACGTGAGTGTTTGGTGTGAGGCCCCAACAATTCCCTGCCTGCTACGATCACAGGTGCCAGGGGAAAATGCATCCAACTCACTTTTCAGATGCGGTCCTCTGGGACATAGCAGAAAGTGGGTGCTGTTTAGAATGCATGCGGTTTGCTGTTGAGCACGTTCACGGATTCTGTGACTCGGGAGGCGCAATCTCCCCTCGACACTTCTGCAGATGCTGAGGCCGAGCTCTCCATGTAGCGCAGCGCTGTTGCGTTTGATTTGCATCAGGCGAGTTTGTGAGTATGCAAATCCTGTCTATCTATCACACTCAACAAAGCTATGGTTTCATGTGGGAAGCAGGACCCGGTCGGTGTTGTTTGCCTGCAAGACGATGCTGGGGCATAGCCTGGATGCCACGGGAAGTCTTTTGCGATAGGGTGGAAATATGCCTGATAGCACAGTTCTGCTGTGACGGTCGTACCGTTCTGCGTGACGCGACAGACATCGTTATTGGCAGTGACAGTTGCAGCGTTCAGCTCCACTTTGCGTTCAGCAGCAACCGCTAAACCTTTTCGCGGAGGCCAAGAGCAAGCGGAAGGAGAGGTCTGAGTCCCAGCAAGACCTTGAGGGCACCTTTCGTGCGTGGCTTGAATCAGGACAAAGGGGATGAGTTACTGAGATTAGGGTTGAAGTGTAGGGCTTGCACTTAAGCTAGTAGATAGGTCAGGATTTCAAGGAATATGCTCACCAAGTACTGTG